CTAACTTAAAAAAGGCGGGTGGCTCGGGTCACACATGGTCACTCCAACTCAGTAGAACGGAAGCCAGTTTGGTGGCACGCTTAAGCGCGGACTCCCCCCGCGTCGCCCACCTGCATCCTCTCCGGCTTCCGTCTTCATAACTCTGTCATGGCACAGGGTCTGGTTAGGAGGGGTTCAGAGAGTGCGGTAGATGCTGCGCAGGTCTGTTGTCTCTGTGAACGAGTTCACGCGCGGGTCAACTTCCCTGCGTCCACATTGCTGGTGGACACACAGTGGACGTCATCGAAATCGACGGCCAAACTACCGCGTATATATAATGATAAAATGCGCAAGAATCTGTTAGTTAAATAAACGAAGAAGACAAAACGCGACCTCATAGACCAGCTGTTTATTCATTCCACGTTTGTGACCCCCATAATAAGCCCAGTTTTAGGACAGTAAACGCCTACTGTTTGGTAAGTATTTGACTTACCTCCGTCTTGAACAACATGCGAATTTTAACTTCCTGTTGGAACAATCCTATTTCTTGTGCCCATTATGCAAGATGAGTCATTTTTGAACTTATTCTTAAAATTTTCTTTAAGAAACTGAATCCGGCACTGCACATGTTCAAAAACACGATTTATATATCTTCATTTCCGACCCGTGGGCTAAATTGTAAATGTTTACTGGGACGCACTTCTTCTCTTGACTGCCACATCTTATGTGCAGTTCTTCTGAAGAGGCAGGCCAAACAAGAACGGAAGTTCAATCTCTAGGACGGATAAAGTGCCCATCGGAGCAAGACGGATTTCCTGTGCTGAACAGGAAATGTTCTAGTCTTCAAAGTGTTTACTGATTGGGGTTTATAGAGACCCCTTAGCCTCTGTCATGGTGAGGGCGATTTCCTCACAACCCTCTAGGTGGTGTAAACTACCTTGAAAATACATGAAAGTGGATTACCCACGAGACTGTAAATGGAGCAAAGATCATTTCCTCGCTGATATTCTCTTGTAGATCCCTCAGATTCCCTTGGTTGCAGTTAACTAATCGTCTCTCAATCGGAAACACGGTGAATTGTAAGAAAGGACAAGATAAACAAGGTCACGAAGAAGTCCAGAATAACAGTTAGCGTTTCTTGGATGTTTGAAGTGTTGAGATGACTACGTCAGGATGCAAAAAGACTGCTGAAGACTGTTGTATATGGAATAGAGTTTTGCTGGGAAAACTATTACGTGGAATGTTGTTCAGTGACTAGACCTACCTGCAAGACCAAAAATGCTCATGCGGATATGACCTAAGACTCCGTCGTAGACTATATTTGGGCTGCGTTATAGCGGTGCATAGTAACCTGAAGGTGGTACCGACAAAAAATAGGAAATTGCCGATACAGCCGAAATGAGAGATCGATGGAACAGTTGAGAAGACGGAAACGCGATTACCAGACGAAAGGTTCCAGCGATCGAGTTTCCTTTTTCAGAAGCAATAAGGACTAAAATGACTTGTTTGCTCCTGTCAGACTGCCCTACTCCAGGTCCGGACGGGGAGGACCTGGGGTCTGATAGGAATTGAGGCAGATACGCCAGAAATTTAGCCATGGGTTCGCGCTCCCACCGGTAAAACATATTACTGGTTGAATGGCCTCGTTTGAATTTATTTCTAAGGAATCCTAACTAAGGTGGCTGTTGATAATCCAGCGGCTAATCGCGCAAAAAACCATGTCATACTTTGGTCTTTCTGACTTCCCACACCATATAGCAGCCAAGCCCACTGTGCGAGATAAACAATTTTTCGGTTTATTGGTGGCTTAGGCCTTGACACGTAAAAAGTAATTAACTTACACCTGCGCATTACGTCCATGTTGTTTTCTTGATATAGCATATAATTGTCTTCAGTTTCCCTTGACTTTAAAAAAGAAAAACAAACACACTTAAAATCAACAGGAATCAAAAGAGGGAGTTTGGCTTCCGGAAAAAAAAACAAAATTGCTTCCTCAATAATAGTGAAAATGCGATTCCCCGCCGGCGTATCGAAAGAAGAAAAGATGTCTCCTGGGGGAGGTGTGTTTTCAGTTTGACGTCTCGAGCAGTTATTCCGCCTTCCCATCTTAAGAGACCGAAAAACGCACTTATAACTCTCATAATATGGTGCACTTTGGTGCGCAGACCGTCAGTGTCTACTGTAGGGCTGAGTCTGACTCCCGTTTCACCGTCACCTGTGTCGGCCCCATCCTCGTTGACAGTGGAGATAAATGGCGGCCCCGACTTTTTCTTGCTGTGACTGTCTCCTGTCAAGAAGTTTCACTAAACCGTATAGGGGAGGCGAATTTATCTGGTGGTTGATTGAGAACTCAATGGACATCTAGGCTTCCTGCGCCAGCCCTGACGTGTGATCATCGCCTCAGCCCACAATCCCAACTGTGTCAAAGGTGAAGATGTGTCCCATCTGCTCGGCACAGGTTGGTACCTCCTACCTTGGGTCCAACCCTCGCACAGCCAACTTATGCTCGTGCATTCGCGTTTGCGGCCGTCGGCTGGTTTCTTCCACGTAGTTGCACATCCTGCAGCTGCACTAAAGTCGGTAGACAACGCTCGATATGGCCTCTGGACCGCATCAATTGCCTGCGAATTGTGGAGTCACACATATGAGCAACTCCTGTCCTGAATAGTGCGAAGGATCTAGCCACGGCTTCGCAGACCCCTTTCATGTACGGAATGCTCCGTCACGACTTCGGTAGACTATGCTCTTTATTCAGCTTCCTTTGTTTCATTCGGCTCCGCTAAACGAATGCTCACAGAAAGTCGATGAACAGCAAAGGTGGGAGCGATACAATTGACTGTGAAACGGGGGCCTGATTCAATTCTGCAGGCCGCATTGCTAGTTATTCTTCGCTGGTTCCACTTGACTGTCAGGCATGTTGTTTTTGGGGCGGCAAGCATGGACTAGGCAAACTGTCAAGTCGGCCAGTACACCTTAGCTCACTGGTCGTCGTCTCAATTTAATCTTGCCACTTAACTAAGAAGAAATTTAGAAAAAGCATTGAAACTGATGCCGAACGAATATCCAATTCACCCACACAAGCTCCCATGCTTCTTTCGCGCAGTGATGAATATCGCCGAACGAACGAGAGCACTATGTTGACAGGTGATCCGAAAAGTGCACACACGCTTTATCAACCAAACGATTCCCATTATTCTTTCTTATTTTGATATACGTCGCCTTTTGAAATGTACAATGACAGACTTTAGTGATAACAACATAAATTCGGTTGTTAATAACTGCTAGTAAATTTTTCAAAATACAATGAGTATCCGATGTTATGGTTCTTGGTTCAATTCGCCGCTAAATTTGGATTCCAGGTACCGTTATGCACACTACTGCAATATCAACTTTTAATTTTTAAGACTGGATTGGCGGTTTTCGACTTCGAAATTCAGTGCTTGCTCCAGAAAAGAGGTTTTTAGACGGTTATGAGCACGCTGTTCGGCTGTTTCTTATGCAATACGAACAGCCAAAAACCTAAAATCTCGCGACAATTACTTCAGTATGTGACAAATTATTCAACTGTTCACAGTTCTTCGTCTGGACAGAGTTTGCAACAATGTCAGTCTTTATAGCCTGGAAATGGGACCACGCTTCAGGCAATGACCAGGACTCATTAATGATTGCTGATAACGGCGGCGATACACGTCAACGCAAATCTAGTTTGTCTCCTAGCGTCATTTTCAGTACATGCGTAATGGCACTACTTTGTACCGCGTCCACTGTCAGTGGTGACGGCGAAGTGTCGTTTGCTTTTCTACAACATAGATGAATGCTTCACAAAAGTGCTGTTAAATTAAAAAAATTGTCCGCATATTCATCAAAGCAGTACATAACGTCAACAGAGGCTGTTATTGCGGGATGTTCTTTCGTAAAAGCAGTGCAGTAACTTTCAGTGAATAAAACGACAATGCGTTCAACATCTTTCTCTCCTATTCATTTAGTTTTTCAAAATCCTTTTTGAAATCGATTTCTAACAGGCACATAAATGAATGGATCCTGACACACGTTTAACAAGATCTAATGCTTTTGTTTTCACGTCGCCGAAGACTGTGCATTTAAGAAACGCGGCCGCGTTTCGGCACTGAACTACGTTATACCTAAGCAATAAACACCAACCTCAGGGTTTAATTTAAGACCACCTTTCCAAATGACTAGCATACGGTTCCATGGATGGAGGCGAAGATTCAGAATAGGATCAAATGTTGGGTATAAAATGATGACTTTATAATCAGTCCTTTCGGAGGTTGGTGAATCAGCTGCTGCGTTTGCTATACAACCGCCAACGATGGAAGATCGAAAGTTGTTGCCGGTATTAGCTTCGCCGCTTTCAGCATGACGCCTGTGGCCGGTTTACGCGCTATCCGTTGCACCAGGCTTAATTTGCATAAGCACTACCACCTTGACACAAACGCACAGTCACGATGGCCCATTCAATCGCGCTCTCACACCAAACCCATCATAATTTACATAATTCCCTTTTGAAACGAGCCAATTATAGTCGGACAGTGACATGATGTCCGTGTGACTACCCGTGTCTATCATATCGGCACGAATGAGGGGGACTAGGCGCATATGGTCGGGAAGGGGTGAGGGGGCTTAACGCAACTTTTACGTGGCGACTGACTGGTCATCTCATCTTGGCAAAGACGACTTACCAGTTGTCCACGACACAGCCGTTGCTCCTCGATTATTCATACATGGTATATCGCTTGTGCACCTGGATTCGCTGCTCAGACATCACAGCATATTCAGAGGTCCTCCCTTAAGAACGGTGTTACGCACGACGTCGGTCGGTTAAATCGGAGCTAAAAGGAGTATTGTGACTCTTAATTGTCACAGAAAACCAGGCGTTCTAGCTTTGGGTTGTCATTTATTGCTGAGAGTGGACTACATAAATTCTTCCTCCGAGTTGGACTGTGGCAATTTCGCTTATTGAATTGATCAACGGAAGGAGCTTAAGAAATCTTCCGTGCAAAATGGGTAAGCAGAATATTCTAATTACAAAGTTTTTGCCTCTTCTTTAAACCGGTCTCTACGTATGAGCATTGATATATACGAAAATAGAATTCTGTTGATTTAATTATTAGCCTTAACAGCAGTTTGCATTTGACCAGTTACATGCCTAACGGGCGATTTATGGGAGTCACGACTGTCCCACACGGGGGTCACGAAATTCCTAACACAGTAATTCTGGAGAAACTGGAAGGAGGAAGTAATACTAAATATTTGCAAACTGCCGGGAGTACGTTATTTACGCAGATCTCGATCATGAATTGTCATCCCTTAAGTGACTTTAGTGAATGTTATTTGAAAGACTGATTTGGCAGAATTATTTGGAAAAGGCTGGTTGTGCAGGTGCCCTTTTTTCCAATACGGCAGACCATACCTCGTTTATAGTAATATGAAAAGGCTTAATATACTTCCGTGTAAAAATGGCGTGAATGGAACCGACAACACCCCGGTCACCTTAATATCATTTGCTATCTGACGTGAGCTTGTTGACGGAAACCAAAAATATGAGTCAAGAAACCATAAATCACGACTGAATAACTCTGAAGTATGTCTTTATCTTGTGTCAGCTTAAGCAAATATATGTCCCACGGAAAAAGGCAACCCAACAGAATAAGGCAAAAAAGAAGCCCAAGTTGGGAGCGGAAGCACGCTGCACAAAATCCCAACAATGTAACTACTGGAAGCATTAATGAGAGGCTGCCAGAAGGACTGGGGAAAATCTCTGTAGAGGATATGCACAATATGCGACTGAAGTCTGGCTGTGATATTTGTCTCCCATATTTGTCCCTCCCATGAGACGCCGGCTGGCTAATTCTCACTTGCCTACACTCAGCCCCTGCAGTCTACCCTATTCACTGATTTTGCTGAATTCTGCAGTCTATATTCGACATGGTGGACTTAGTCAAGCACGAGGATCGAACTGTTATTCGACAACTGTTGCCTGACATGCGAATTTTATCCACGAAATTGTTTAATTTTTATATAACTGCAAAAGCTAGTGTTTGTAATTTAAAGTTTAAGCAAAAGGTAATTCGCCTCGCAGTAAGTTCGACCAGTAAGGACGGTGGAAGCTGAGAAGTTACTAATTCATTTCCTGTCGAAGTTCATATTCTAGTTCGTCAGCCGTTACATTCGCTTGCCGAACCAAACCGTATAAAGAGTAGAGTTCTGTCATCTGGAAGTTTCTGTCCCAGTCCGGGTCTATTCTAAAACCTATCGGGCCTTGGACATGTACTGTGGTAATTACTCCACAGTGAAAGGCTGTGTTGGACGATACGAATGAGGTTGTAATAATCGGCCCCAATGCCTCTTAGTGAAACCATAAAAACCCGGACTGACAGCTGAGCATTCTTACTTCAAAGCATTCAAGAGTTTTTCGGATCATGAACTTGGAATATTAGATGTCTGCAAAGGGCAAATTAAACCAGTACACTACTTGTGGTTTCCTCCTCTCTTTCTTTGCACCTGCATCCTGGGTAAAACCTTTTCGTTTTCTTTTACGAATTAAAATAGCGACTGCAGTCGTAGAACAAACAGAATTATTGTTGGTGATTATCGTCAACCACTTGTTGGACGTCCCATCGAAAATTACAACTAACTTTCAGGCAGGCGTTGGTGGGTTTCAAGTCAGGTAGAAAATCCCTTAAGGCTTAAATCACGAGCCTCTTAATTTAGAAATATAAGCATACATAATGATGATAAAATTTAATGTCAATAGTACTGTCGGTCTGTACTTACACAGCCTCCTCTATCTTTCAGTCCCTGCTCCCCTACCTCTGTCGCCCTTTCTTCTGTCACTTCTCTTGATGGAAATAATCGGCGACGTGGGTTGTCTCGACGGCAGCGCCGCCTCGGACTTTTTTATCGAGCATCCAAAGAGCCAATCGGTGACCCTGAACAGCACCTTCATACTGCGATGCCGCTTCCGAATCGAGATCTTTCAGTCAGCCGAACAGGAAGGACGTCCTCGAATTGACTGGTCACGAAACGGTTTCGGGATCGGCGGGACACCCGAAGATATCCGTCAGGCAGGAATCGGCACTAACTACCCCGAATCTCGATACTCCCTGCCCTACAACCTTCAGGAAGGTTAGTGCAAACGTTTCTCCGACGATAGACGAGAATAAGGACGGGCGAGCTGCGGTTAACAATATATGCCACTAGTTTCTGGCGTGCAATAATTCGGAGTTGAATTATTGAGCATCTGTCAACTTGAAACAACCTCAGAGCGAAATATATGCTCCGGCCACCTTTTGTAGTTTCTGCCCTCTGTGATCTCTACACACATCCTGTACATTTAAACAGTCCCTCTTTTTTATTCTCTCCTGTCATTTATCCAGCGAACAGTACTGTTTTACCACTTGCAACTGAGCTGACTCTTGAATCTCGAGCATGAATTGCCAACTTCTTATATCTCTTTAGCGCCTTTTTAAGAATCTGAGGTAACAAATATAGCTTACTTTTTATCTACCGTATCCTAAGTTGATGTTGAACAGAAACAGTCAAAAGAAGAGGCAGGCGCTTTTGGAACTAGACTTTTCCCCCTCCCCCCCCCCAAGACATGAGTGTTGATGGAGTTATAGTTCGGAAGGTTGCCACATTTTCACTTTAGTGGTTTTAGTTGAAATTATCGCAACAGGAGGTACAAGGCAAACACTTAACTGAGCTTACTTTTATTTATGTCATACAACCAACATTTTGCGTTCCCTGCCAGTTGATAGTGGATTGAGCATGGTTACTGTTAGTTAGACTGGATTTTATCCTTTTATATTTAATATCTGATTTCCAAACATTAATGAAATTAAGAATTTGTGGCAGGTGTCACCGCCCTAGGCACCCATATTCTTATCTGAATATGTAGATCGCGAAACACAGTACTATACAGATGAATACGACTGGCTTGTGTTTTGCAGACCGTAAGCAAAAATCCCAGCGATAAGCTTTAGACCTCCGTGGTAAGAGATGCATGGGACACGATAACCGTAAGCTGGCTGTGCCAGTCATTCATTTTATCGCGACTAGGACAAATGCTGCTTTCAACGCTGCCTAGTGGTATTGTATTTTTCTTAAATTGTCTATTGTAATTCACCCAGAATAGCCTTTCATGGTGTCTTCAAACCCGAATCCCTCATGTTTGTTAGAATTTTATCTCAGTAGTCATTTCGTTTGCAGTTTTAAATTGGAAAATATCTGTTTGGTTTGCTGCGTCATCGTGATAGACTCATTCTTAGCACCGGCTACTCAAGAAAGTATGAACAAAGACCTCCTAACGAACGTTTTTTTGTGTTATTTTAGGCCAATATGACCTTCAGATCACTAATGCGCAGTTGAAAGACGATGGGAAATATCTCTGCCAACTGACGTACCGGGGAAAAGCATACCACAGTCAGGATGCGATCGTGGAGGTGCTAGGTGAGTTACGTTCACTTTCCTGACCTGGGCTGGGGTGGATCTGTCGATGCGATCAACCTGAGCGGCCAGATTTTACTTGCCGTGTGTGTGTGTGTGTGTGTGTGTGTCTGCTGCCATTGGCACTGTCTCCATGCAAGGCAAGTGAATTGACAGTCGCCTGCATGAATCACTGAACATCAGTAGGGAAGCTAAGGCGAAGTTTTCGTCTTCGAGGCGTACTGATTTTACGTCAGAAGAGTGGTTCTTTAACTTGATAGAAAAGGCCATGAAAAATTAGTTATACTTTCTGATTTTGTGTTGTGCTAGCAAGGCAAGTTCGGCGACCATATGGCAAAGTTAAATAACCGCGAACCTTAGTGATAATGCTGATTATACGGCCTCATTCATATTTCGTCCGTCAGTCGTGTACGCCGCGTCCAGGCGGTCTTGGTCTACGTCTGTTATTGTGAAGCAGAAATAAGTAAATGCCTGTCCAAATGAGGGTCCTTTGGGAATAGAACCAATTAATCTGTAAGTGCCGCATTTCAGTGCTGTACCTCCCCTTATCTTAACAACAAAGTCCATGGAAATGAATTGTAGGTTGCTTTTTAAAAATTCCAACAATTTCAACCACGTAAGGATTTCGGAAGCAAAACTCTCATAACAGTAAAGTTATTGTCCCAAGACTCATCAAGTACCATTCTTCATACCATCAAGTACCCTGGGCTCGAGTGTTTGCTTCTTTTTATGGCAACAAATTCAGTGCGACTCAAAAGGTTTTTTATTCCAGCATGAGCGCATAAGAATTGCGGTGCTTCTACATTGCAACACGGGGTTAAGTCTGATATCCATCAAGCATCGCCAATCTCAACACCGGGAATTATATACAGCTGGACCATCTGATGCTTGCCTGTGCTAATAAAAGGATGCATGACCGGCAAAAAACCTAGTGAGAAGATGAGTCAACGAGACACTGTATTTCTTGTACTAAGCTGTACTGCAGAGCAGGTGGGCTAACTCATGAAATGTCAACCGAAATTTCGAAATGCGTTCTCGTTTCGGAAAAATTAATTAAGTAGGGTTGTAAAACGACTCATCATGTAGCATAATTCTATAATGTTGCAGTTACCTCAGGCTGTCGGACTTCATATGAACTTATTTCCGGCTCTATGCAAAATATAACTACGTGAGTAGCATGCAATTTTTGCATCGATGTTCAACGCCCTTAAAAATTCAATAATATTTTAGGGAAGACACTCATGCAAATATCCATTCTTTTGCTCATTCGGTAGCAAATGACGCCTTCTTCCAGTTTGCTTATCAAAGAAAGGGTAGAATGCGGTTTTCAAAAGATTTCTGATTGTGAGATTTTTTAATACAGTGAAATGGCCGTTCATAAGACGTCATGTCTCTGCATTTACCAATGTGGCTTGTACGGTTAACAATATGGCTGAAATCTACTGCCAAATTTTATGAACCCCATATGTTCTCCTCTTAATACCGTAGAGAAATGCATGGTTTTCGTATGCGGAAAATATACGGCTTGTAGTTTGGAAACCCTGAATGCAAGCGTAACAGCAGGTCGGGTTCAAAATTATTCGGGAATTGGAAACGTTTTCGAAAACCGAATTATACTCTTCCTTCGAGTATGAAATTGGAAGAAGACGTCATTTTCTACTGAATGAGCAAGAGAATGAGTATTTTTATGCATGTTTTCTATGAAATATAATTGAATTTTCAAGGGATTCAAAAATCATTAGGAAAATTGCATGCTACTTTAGTAGTCATTTTTTGCAGGGTATGGCTCTTGCATGCAGCCGGAAGAAGTTTATTCGGAAGCCGGCATCCTGAGGTAATTGTATTGCTCTAGAATTATGCTGCATGATGTTTAGTATTACAGCCCTGCTTATTTAGTCTTTTCGAAACGAGGACGCATTTCGAAATTTCGTTTAACATTTCATGAGTTAGCCCACCTACTGTGCCTACAAGGCTAGTGAAGCTATTGTTTCAGTTGCACCGGTACTCGAGCGGTGAGCTAAGACGGATCTGGTGTGATAATTCTGCACGCACACGCGGGATGAAGACTGTGTCGTCTACAGGTTGACCACGTTTGGGTTTGAAATGTGCAACTAAACGCCAGTGTTCTGGGACTGATTTGAGAGATAAAAATATGCAACTCCTAATCGTTATGGCAAGCCTTTTGGAGACGTCTGCTCTAAAAGTCTGAATAGGTAGAAGAGAACTAACGGAGGTTCCAGTTGTCTAGAAAACTTGTGCTGGGTTTGTATTTAATCTCTCAAGCGGCTGCGAGAGAACGCGAGAGTGCATGCATCCGCAAACATGGGCACATAATATAAGCACTGGAGAAACTTGTAATGGTTAGGCTTACTGTAGGACAGAAATGTATTTGGACAAGGCAAGCTCAGGCCGCCAGTCAGGCGGGGAGGAGAAATTGATTCTTGACTGCAGAATGGCCATTTCTGCTGGATAGCAATATGTTCTGTGCGGTTTCTCCTCTTAAAATGTGTACTTTCCATATCCTTGACTCTTGTGTGGCTAGACAGGAAGTGATCCGCCTTTAACTCTTTATTCGGTCGTCATATCAGGCAGTGTGTAAATACACCGTACATCATACCTTGTTTTTTACCTTCAAAGTAGAGCTGATATTTTTATAAACGCTTTTTTTAAATGGGAAGAGGAGTCGTATTTGCGTTTAACTACTGCTTTCAGAACCGCTGGACGGTTTTATCTTGATGACCACATCTGTTTATTAACTCTGAAATGGAAGAACAAATGATCTGCCCTGCAGTATTTTAGTTCTCGGCATATACAGAAGATGTGCTAACTCATGAAATGTCAACCAAAAGTTCGAAATGCGTTCTCGTCTCGAAAAGATAAATTAAGTAGTGTTGTAAAACTAATCATGATGCAGCATAAATCGATAATGATCCAGTTACCCCAGGGTGTCGGCTTTAGAAAGAACTTATTTTCGGCTTCATGCAAATACTATACTCTGCAAAATATGACTACGTGAGTAGCATGCAATTTTCTCATTAATGTTCAACGCCCTTAAAAATTCAATTATATTTAATGGAAAACATGCATACAAACATTCATTCTTTTACTTGTTCGGTAGAAAATCACGACTTCTTCCAATATCATACTCGAAAGAAGAGTATTATTCGGTTTTAAAGAAGTTTCTAATTATGAGAGTTTTTAATACCGTTAAATGGCCGTTTATGGAACGTCATGAATCTGCATTTACAAATGTGGCTTGTAAAGTTAACAATATTGCTCAAATCCACTGCTTAATTTTATGAACCGCATATGGTCTCCTCTTAACACCGTAGAAAAAATACATGGTTTTCCGTACACGGAAAATATACGGCTTGTAGTTTGGAAACCCTGAATGGAAGTGTAACAGCATATTGTGTTAAAAATTGTTTGGAAATTAGAAAAGTTTTTTTAAAACTGAAGCATACTCTTCTTTTAAGTATTGAATAGGAAGAAGAGGTGATTTTCTACCGAATAAGTAAAAGAATGAATATTTGTATGCATGTTTTCCATTAAATATAATTGAATTTTAAAGGGCGTTGAACATTAATGAGAAAATTGCATGCTACTCACGTAGTCATATTTTGCAGAGTATAGTATTTGCATGAAGCCGGAAATAAGTTCTTTCTAAAGCCGACACCCTGGGGTAACTGGATCATTATCGATTTATGCTGCATCATGATTAGTTTTACAACACTACTTAATTTATCTTTTCGAGACGAGAACGCATTTCGAAATTTTGGTTGACATTTCATGAGTTAGCACATCTACTGTAATTCTCAGATGAATTCACCTATAATTTATGATCAATAGCAACTTCACTTATAGTCAGTTATAGTAATTTCTCTTGCCTGCCATTATTGTCAAAGCATTCCCCAATTTTTGATTCAGTGCCGTCAAAACCCCCATTTCTGAGGCAGTTGGACCCCCTAAACAGCAGTGCCTACCGTCCTGTGGATTCGGACGTTCGAGCAACTGTCTTTGAAGGAAGCATTTTGAAACTGCAATGTATAGCTGAGGAGGGGAAACCGGGCGCAAGACTGCTGTGGTTGGTGGACGGAATACCCGTAAATGGTAAAAACCTTCAGTTGGAGTATTTTGAGACATTCACTGCGGGCTTTACAATGAACGTAACCGCAGAGAAGTTGGAGTCAACCTTGCCCCCTTTTTTGTAAGTTCCCAAAATTTCCTGTTCTCGATTGTATTAACTTGGTTATAACAGTTGCCGTCAACGAAACTCGTTCCTTATAGTTCTTTCACATGTCCATGCTAGACATTCCCTGCAGTTGGGGGAAAGCTCAACATTCGGAATGTTTCTTCGATGCTTCTCTCTCTCGAGTACATCATTTGCACGCTCAGTGCATAGGTACTCCTCACACATACTGGCTAACCATATATCCCTTATAAACTACTTAAGTAAATCGACAACAGCTGCAAGGATATCCATACAGTAATCAAGCTAAAAGTTTTAATCACAAAGGGAAGGCACAGTATGTAAAGATTTCACTGCAATGCCTTTCAAATTATACAGTACGCGGACAAGCTCATGAAATGTTAAACGAAATTCCGAAATGCGTCCTCGTTTCGAAAAGACTAAATAAGCAGGGCTGTAATACTAAACATCATGCAGCATAATTCTAGAGCAATACAGTCACCTCAGGATGCCGGCTTCCGAATAAACTTCTTCCGGCTGCATGCAAGAGCCATACCCTGCAAAAAATGACTACTAAAGTAGCATGCAATTTTCCTAATGATTTTTGAGTCCCTTGAAAATTCAATTATATTTCATAGAAAACATGCATAAAAATACTCATTCTCTTGCTCATTCAGTAGAAAATGACGTCTTCTTCCAATTTCATACTCGAAGGAAGAGTATAATTCGGTTTTCGAAAACGTTTCCAATTCCCGAATAATTTTGAACCCGACCTGCTGTTACGCTTGCATTCAGGGTTTCCAAACTACAAGCCGTATATTTTCCGCATACGAAAACCATGCATTTCTCTACGGTATTAAGAGGAGAACATATGGGGTTCATAAAATTTGGCAGTAGATTTCAGCCATATTGTTAACCGTACAAGCCACATTGGTAAATGCAGAGACATGACGTCTTATGAACGGCCATTTCACTGTATTAAAAAATCTCACAATCAGAAATCTTTTGAAAACCGCATTCTACCCTTTCTTTGATAAGCAAACTGGAAGAAGGCGTCATTTGCTACCGAATGAGCAAAAGAATGGATATTTGCATGAGTGTCTTCCCTAAAATATTATTGAATTTTTAAGGGCGTTGAACATCGATGCAAAAATTGCATGCTACTCACGTAGTTATATTTTGCATAGAGCCGGAAATAAGTTCATATGAAGTCCGACAGCCTGAGGTAACTGCAACATTATAGAATTATGCTACATGATGAGTCGTTTTACAACCCTACTTAATTAATTTTTCCGAAACGAGAACGCATTTCGAAATTTCGGTTGACATTTCATGAGTTTGCCCGCCTACTTTAATCCATTCCTGCAAGTTTATCATATAAGAGAGACAATGATGTGCATTCTATGACTTGAAAGAAAGGACGAGATTTCATCAATGATAGTCTTTTCCCGACTTTCCCGAGATAGAAATGTGTTTAAAAATGTGGATAACATAAACAACGCAAAACAGTGAATGTTTTGATCTAGAAGCGACCCAGTGAGCGCTAAAGCACTTTATCCAGTCTCCTCACTGGGCCGTGCTACTCTTATGGAGAACTGTCCACCCCTCCATTCGCCTGCTTATGCTCCCTCCCAACTCTCGGCTGTCTCTGCCTCCTCCATGACGTTTATTAAAGCCTCGACGTTATCGTCACAAATTTAACTCTCATCGGGTCAATCCTTGATATGCGTCAACAAAGCACTGTAACCCGGCCTCCCGCCTTTGATACTTTAGCCTTTATAAGCAGAATCTTAGAGCACAGGTAGCCGCTCGCATTGGATTCCCGTACTCTGGGTTTACATCTTTCTCCATTGTAAACGAACACTTGTGATGCGTCCCCAACTTCCGCCAACAATGTTTTTTGTCCAGTCGCCTGACGGACTGTTAGTAATCGGTTCACACTGGTCCAAACGGCTTTGGCTAGATTAAGCGACAGACCCAAAAT